AATCCTGGTTTTTTCCTTCTTAATCTTCCCAAATTATGTGGTCAGATTTCTTAATTTCATTTCCTAAACTTAGTTCTCCTTATCTGACGAAGGCATTTAAAACTGCCACTAATTTTGGAATTTTTTTTTTAAAGTGTTTTATTTTTATTATTTTTTTGAGAGTTTTTTTTGCTATAGTGCGTGTGTGCTCACCAGACAGAGAGAGACAGAGAGACAGAAAGCGAGAAATCACCCCCCAGGGGGGATGGTCACGCCTCAATCCCTTCTCCTCCACTCTCCTCTCGGGATCTTGGGCACGCACGCACACGTGCCCGGCGTGAGTTTTAAGCCACGGGGTCTGGGACGCGAACTGCGGTCGACTACATGGGAGTCCAGCGACATAGCCGTAATTATGCTAACTGCTGGTTCCTGATTTTGGAATCTTTTAACAGTGCAGGTCCGTAGAATCTTTGCGATTTGAATTAAAAGTAATTTATTTACTTTGCCTTGTGCCAAAAATAATTTCAGTGATTAACAAAAAACCTTAACTAGAAGTTCAAGTAAAGGGAAGGACATTTGCTATAAAGAACCTTGAATTCTAATAAATGTTATGAAATTAACTAAAGGAGGAGTTTGCAATGTGGAGTCTGTGGAACATCCTCTTAAATTATATGCAAATTGTTTACTTACAGAAGAGAATTTTTCAAGGCCTGAGGGTCCATAGCGCTCATTACATTCTCAGAGGTATAAGACCTAAGAAAATTAATAACTACTAAACTACATACAAGAAAAACTTAGGCAAATAATTTAATTTTTTAATACCTTAACTAATCTCTATTTTGATAAAACACCTGGATTATACTTCATGAGTTTAAGAATTGAAGAAGTAATATGTAATCATACTCTGAAAAAGTTATCCCTTTCAAAAAAAGCAAAACACTAAATGTTTTCATCTTTAAAAAATATCTATTGGGGCCAGCAGGTGGTAATGTGGTTAAAGGTGCTGGACTCCCTCATAGCCAACTGTGGTTCGAGTCCTGGACCTGGTGACTTGCTTTCTCACTTTCCCTTTCTTTTTCTCTGGTCAAATTATAGAATAACAAATAAAGTTAAATAAGTAAATAAGTAATTCTTAAAAAAATACTTATTAAAATGTTCATGGTATTAGTATTATAGAGATTATAAAAAACATTTTAGAAGTGTTATCTTAGTGACATGTATTCACCAGACATTTGAGTATATGCTATATGCTGATGTGGGAGATACAGATGAATATGTTTCATATAGGACACAGACTAATAGATTATAAATGTTATTTTAGAATACACTCAATACCTAGAGGCTAGAGGAAGGATATGTGAGGTGTGGGTGGCAGATAAGTGATTTGTTGAAGGCTTTTTGGAGGTGTTATCACCTAAAATGGGTTCATCTAAAGGGATGGTGTTATCATCCAAAAAAATGATCACTTAAAATAGAAGGCAGTCCTGGCCAAGTGGTCAGAATATGGGAAGGCAGAGAAATGGCAGACAACAGTGTAGTGTGTCTATGTGCATTTATTACGTGAGGCACGTAAGGTCAGTGATGCTGGCACAGAAACCGAGGGCACGAGGCTATACATGCAGCGTGGGCCAGATCAAGGAGGGTTCTGTGTGTCAGGCTGGACTGAGCAACATTTTGCTAAAAGGAAAGAGATGCTCTAAGCAGGGGCCTGGCACAACTACTCTGGTAAGAGTACAGGGAGACTGGATATAAGATCGGAAAATGATGAGGACGATAAGGAGAAATACAGGGTTGGGGGAATATGATAAATTTGGACTTGCTTCATGTGGGTGATTATTTGAGTGACAGTGTATCATAGCAGAATCAGAGGTCTGGTCTGGAGGCTTTAAATCGTAGCTCATAGCTGAGTCTAAGTGAATGGCTGACACCAGCCAAGATGATCATGGAGGTAAACGGGGGCATGCCAACACAGAAAAGGTGAATGTGTGGAAAAGAGCCCAAGAAAGAGAAGGGGCAGTCAGAATTATAAGACCCGAGAACATAGAAGACAAGGAAATATATAGTTTTAAGGAATGTATTATTAGCAGTGGCAAACGCAGAAGAGGCCTCACTTAAGAAAAAACTTGGGACCAGTAGTTAGCGTAGTGGCTATGCCGCTGAACTCCCATGTAGTCAACTGTGGTTCGCGTCCCGGACCCGGTGGCTTAAAACTCACGTTGGGCGCGTGTGCGTGCGTGCCCAAGATCCCGAGAGGAGAATGGAGGAGAAGGGATTGCGGCGTGGCCCTCCCCCCTGGGGGGTGATTTTTTGTTTTCTGTCTGTCTCCGTCTGGTGAGCGCACACACCCTATAGCAAAAAAACCTCAAAAAAAAAAAAGAAAGAAACTCAACCCTGGTTGAGTTCTGTCTTGTTCTGTCTGTCTGTCTCTCTGTGAATGCATGTGCCCTACAACAAAAAAATCTCTTAAAAAAAAAAACTCAATTTATTCATTTGACAATGAGGCGGTCACTGTTTCAATAAAGGGTGAGAACCAGACAAAAAGATGAATGAACAGGTGGTCAAGCACAAAACAGAGGGTAAATGTACACAGTCTGACAAGTCTGATATGAATGGGAGAAGGGAGACTAGAGCTGCTGCTATCCAGGGGATTTTTCTTTCTTTCTTTCTTTTTTTTTTTTTTTTTTTTTTTTTTTTTTTTTTACTAGGGGGTGCGGTCCCCAAGGAAGCAAGAAAACAAACATGTTTATTGGCTGAGGAGGCGGGTACCACACAGGGAGAGAAGGTTAAGTTTTCTTAAAGGGTTGGAGATTTGGTAGAACTCTTCTAGCTATTCAGGAAGAATTACTCAGAATTAAACTTGTAGCCAATTCATAGGGAGAATTTGTCAGCACAATAGCTAGTCCTCAATAAGAACTAAGAAAATGTATTCCCTAGTATAAGTCAAAGAATAAAAATGTTGATAGCTAAAATAAAAAATAAAACAGGTCAGGGTGTTTTTCAAAATTGAATTCTACTGCCAGCCAAAGAATGATGCTTTTCTCTGGGATGGACATAAATCAGTGTAACCACCTTTTAGCGGGATCTGGCTTTTGCCTTCACAGAGAAAATCAAAGCATGCATCTGTACCCATTCTTTTCTCCCTTCGATTCACAAGGCGTTTTTTTTTTTTGTTTTTCATTTTTTCATTTAACTTTATTCATTTATTTCAATTTGACCAGAGAGGGACAGAGAGAGAGAGAAAGTGAGAAAGCAAGCCACCAGGTCCGGGACTTGAACCGTGGTCGGCCATGTGGGAATCCAGCACCTTTAACCACCATACCACCTGCCAGTCGTCACAATGTATTTTTTAAAAACTATTTTAACTTTATTCATTCATTCATTCATTTCAATCTGACCAGAGAGGGATAGAGTGAGAGAGAGGGAGGGAGCGAGCAAGCAAGCCACCAGGTATGGGACTCAAACCACAGTTGGCGATGGATGTGGGAGTCCAGCATCCTTAACAACCAAGCCACTTGCTGGCCCCTGCAATGCGTTTTTGCATAGAAAAACACAGAAAAAATACATTATGACTTTTCCAATAACTCAACAGAATCCCCTAAGGCCAATATCCCCCCCCACCAGTGCTTTAGATTCTGTCTAAGCTTTCTCTAGAACCCAGCACTGATCCTTTTTGCTCTTTTCTTTATAGTCTTACTAAGCTGACCAAGCTGGCCTCAAATTAGGGATTGTCCTGCCTCAGCCTCCCATGTTAATTGGTATTATAGGCATGCACTACCTTTTCTTCTCTTATTTGCAACTCCTGTCTTTTTTCTGGATCCCTTTCAAAGAAAAAGCAATCATTAGAGGGGGAAAGTAAGACACACACACTACTGCCTCATTCTCTTTTCACACACCAAATTCACAAGAGTTGCATAAAGTAACTTCTGACAGCTGCTGCCTCTGCTACCTGGATGGGACTGTCTCTTAAGGTTTCAATTATTTCCAGGTGTCTGAATCCAGTAGAGGTTTTAAACTCTTCACTCTATTTGATCTCTCAGTAGCATGCAACACCTGAGCGGAAACTGTTGCTTTGCTTTTGTCCTGACTCTTTCTGGCTTTCCTTTTATCTCCTTACTGCTTGTCAGTCTCCTTCCCTGCTGACACTTTGCTACTTAACCTTTCAGAACTTCTTACGGTTTGCCCTAGGTCTTCTCTTTCTCCCCAGAGTAGCCACTGGCATACTTCTGTAAGGGGCCAGTAAATTATTTTGGGCTTTGCAGGCCATACTTTGGGTGAAACCACTCAACTCACTGTGGTATAAAAGTAACCAAAGGCGGGGAACCAGCAGTTAGCGTAATGGCTATGTCACTGCATTCCCATGTAGTCGACTGCGGTTCGTGTCCCGGACCCGGTGGCTTAAAACTCACGCCGGGCGCGTGTGCGTGCGTGCCCAGGATCACGAGAGGAGAATAGAGGAGAGGGGATTGCGGCGTGACCATCCCTCTCTGTGTCTGACGAGTGCACGCGCCCTAGAGAAAAAATCTCCCAAAAAAAAAAAAAAATTAAAAAAAAAAGTAACCAAAGACAATAATTACATGAATATGTATAGCTGTGTTCCAAAAAATTATTTACAAAAACAGCCTGGGGAAAGGGGGGGCATCTGGCCTGTGGCTTGCCAATTCCCGCTCTATACTCCCCTCCAAAAGTATCCCCTTCTATGCTTCCAATGACGATCTCAAAGTCATACCCGAGACCCCTTCTGTCCCCAAATCCGTATCACCAAGTACCTACTTAGTATCCATATTTAAATGTCTCCAAGGCATCTCAAGCCTTAACATAGGAATTGTGCACTTTACCCCCCAGAACCTGGTATCTTGTGTTCTCTTAACCAGAGGTACTGCCATCCATCTAGGTGTATAAGACAGACAAACTGGAGTTGTCCTCCACACTTCCTTCCCCTTATCACCCTCTAATGCTTTGAATGGGAGGAATACCTTTTAAAAAAAAAAGGTCTGAAAATAGCATTACTTAAAGCACACAAATTTAACATTTCACTAATTGAGCTAAACTTTATTTCCATGTTTATTACATGTTTATCTTTGCTGTTGCGTACATACTAGAATTCAACATACAACTTGGGAGAAAAGTTGACATTCTCCACTGAAATGAGTTAAAAAGGAATGTAAAACTACAAAATATTTGTCTGTGTGAGTTCTACATTATGGCAAACAGAACAATAAATACCTTGCCATTTTTCTTTCTAATTTTCCAAGATGGATTTCATTATAAAAATGTTTTCATAACAATTTATTTCAAGAAAAGAAAGGAAAATCATAAAAACCATTTTAAGTATAAGGTACAAATAAATTAAATCTTAACACAGAACCCCTACCTCTTATTTAGAATATAAATACTTGATGGTATCATGAGTTAAAGGGGACTGATTAATGTCAACTGCAAATCTGACTTTATAAAAAACCATCTATGCCATTCGCTTTTGTCCAGAAGAGTTAGGCCGATTTAAGGGAGACACACGGCAGAAGTCTACTTGACATTCATGTCAACCATTTGATGTTTAGAATGCAGATGGTCAAACATGTAGTGCTTAGTGACAAATTCAGAAATCAACCTAAGTAGCTAAGAGCTTATAGAATGAATTGTCCCACCTCCTAATCTATGGTCACATACAAATATACAGCTTTTCGCGTCCACTGAGATAGTCTGAAGCTGCTGCAATTCACAAAACACAATTATTGCCTGTAGTGTAACGCCAGTGTTTAAACAAATATAAATTACGGGTGGTTATCAACATTAATATATTTAATTCTTCTATACGCCCCTTAGCACGTTTTGTGAAGATAAATGTCCTTTTTATTACTAATCTTTATACCAATGAGTTTTAAAACTCAGTTTAAAATTATTTTCTACCACGGATTACAGAATGAAGGCTCTTACTAAAAGTAATGCTTATTGTTTTAAGTGTTTAGAACCATCTGAAGGACCTACACTCTTCCTAAAGTCACTTATAAAAAGCTAACTTGACTCTAATTCTAGTGATAAAACATATTCCCATGTAACTGTTTAAAACAGATAATTTATGGCTTTTCAATTTTTAAAATTTCACAATTTATGTCATGTTGTTAAAGCTTTTTTAAATGATTCTCAAATGAGAAAAGAAAGGACAAAAACCCCAAAAGCTCCTTATCTGCTATTTGGCTTCCTCCCTTCCCTGGAAACCAATTCTCTTAAGTTGCAAGGCACACTCCTTGTCTTAGAAGGGTCAGGAAACTTTTTGTGTAATTTGGTGTAAAGGGCCAGATAATGAACACTTCAGGCTTTGTGGACCATTTGGTCTCTATTGCAACTACTCAAAATTTGCCGTTGTAGTGGGAAAGCAGCCATAGGTAATGTGTTTACAAAAAGGAATAGTACAACTCTGGCCTGTGGCCACAGCTGGCCTACTATGCCTCAGAAGAACAGACCCAAATATATAAAAGAATTATGTGAAAGAAAGGAACTGGTCTCTAGCAGACATGAAGACTGATCCAGAATCTAGCAATCACTAAAACATTTTGAACGCTTTGAATCTAGACAACTTTATGATGAAACTCATGCCATCATGCTTTTCATTGGGGATCTTCATTGAAGAACTAGCTTGAGCATTTTTCAGGGATTCAGTTTAAAATTAATAAATGATGTCCATACAATTTAATATCCAATTTAATTTTTTAAAAAACTTACTGAAAAATATAACAAAATCAAAACATTTGAAGTAAGTACACTCACTACCCACTCCAGTTAATTCATTTAAGCCATACCAACTATAGAATATGAAAAATAAATTCAGAAATGTAATTACTTTAAAATACATTGCTTCCACTTTTGTCAGTATTTTACATTTATGTATATATTCTATAGTGGAAGCAGAAATTCTCTCTAAAAACATTATCTCCTTAAAATCTTGAGGTGCATATTAGAGCCACAGGCAATATCTGACATATAAAATTGCAGTACAGGCCTTTCAAATTTGGCATTTCACTGGTACAATACAATAACCAAGGTATATAATAACTGTACAGTGCCTAGACATTCCAGTAAGAACCATTATTTTCTTTAATGTAGAATGATACATATTCTACAAGGGGCAGTGAGGTTAGAAATTCTATAGGGTATGTCCTGACATAATTTTCAAATTGTACGATAACACAAACAACTTTGTTAAGGCCATGTTTTATTTGCTGATTAATGGACAAAAGGCAATGTAATTTATTTTCAAGTATTTTCTTGAAAGTCTGTGCTCATAAAAATCATGAAAAGTTGGAAAGACTGTTAAATCACTGAAACTTTAAATATATCTTACACAATCTTGTTTGTACAAAAATACAAGTTAAATATAAACATAAAGCAATCATGATAATTTTATGCAAATCTGTATTATGTGATCTTCAGTTATATATAAAAGTTTCTCAGTACTGTTATTTGTGAAAAGATCAATACCAGATTGAATTACTATCTATTAGCAAAGGGCCCTAAAAAGCTTACTTTAGCATTAATCTTTTACATAGTTAAGTTCATTTCCTAATTTGAGATCACCTAAACACTGGCAAAAAGGAAAAAACATGGAAGGGCAGTATGTCCATAAACCAACAAATAATTTGGCTGTAATGTATCATAAAACACAAAGAAACCTCACACATCTGTACAATAAACATTATTTCACATACACACACAGGTGTATACATGCACAGATGCACGTATACATACACACAGCCAAAACGAAGCCTAATGAGGTGCCGCTTCCAGTTCAATATTCAGCTGTGCATTTTTTCTTACTTCATCAAAGGAATAGCTTTTTGTCACTTTCCCATTCTTGAAGACAGTATGGAGAAGATCCTGTGTAAATGTAAATGTAATGATCATTTCAGAGACTATTGCATATCATACTTTGATGATTAGACTTACAACCAACTAAGCAATCAACTGCCCGGGGTTATTGACGGTGTTCAAACTGAATAATAACAAAGCTAGTGGAGCAGGTGTAGAGAGCAAGGTACTTTCCAAAATAGCGAATCGTTAGTTGGCTGCTATGTAGAAGTATTTAACTTTTAAATATTCTTAAAGGAAAAACAAAAAACCCAGCTGACCTTTGGGTGAAAGATGCTTATTTGCCCAGGAGAGTTGTTGATATAACTGTCACTGAAAATCATCACTGACAGTAGAGCAAGGAAAGCCTACCAAACTTCCCTTATTCCTGGACAACAGACTTAACACTGATTACATTCATCAACCTGGAAGCTTAATAACTTTGCTAGTCACTGAATTTTGGCCCAAATCAAACTCATAACAAATAAAAACAGGTATCGATTTCTTAACTGATACACAGTGACTAAGTTAAAGACTTTGTGTATCTTCCGTAAGTCACAGATAGATGTAATCTACTTGATCCATACAAAGGTGACAAAGATTTAAGAGAATCAGGACTAAATTCTCCTTGTATGTGGCAAAATTACTCCTGTCTCACTGAAGTTACCTGCCTCTAATTTCTTTCTGAAATATCTATTTAAATAACCCCAATTTTCCATCCTCAGGCTGAGGACTGAGGAGCATATGACATTATCTAATATTTCTGTCATTGTATTGCTTTATATTACACTGTTAAAGCTGTGGCACTTTCTTTCGTAAATATATAACCTATCAGTGAACGCTGATTCCAGTTCTTAAAATGCCCTAGACAATTGACTACAAAGTCATTAGTACCTCAAATGTTCTAATATATCATCCACTCTTTTTTTTTTTTAAAAGAAGTTTTTGCTATAGGGCGCATGTGCTTGCCAGAAAGACAGAGACAGAGAGATAGAAAGCAAGAAATCACCCCCAGGGAGGATGGCTACAATGCAATCCCTTCTCCTCCATTCTCCTCTTGGGATCTTGGGCACACATGCGCCTGGTAAGCCACCAGATCTGGGACTCGAACCGCGGTCAGCTACATGGGAGTTCAGCAACATAGCCATTACACTAACTGCTGGTTCCTCATTCACACACTCTTAAAGTCAATGCCTTTTTATGTCACACTTATGCTTTTACTCCTTGTTTATCCTGGATAAACTAAGGCCATGTGAGATCAATTCAGCAAAATCTTGGCAGCTGTAAGAGTTAAGTGAAATCTACTTGAAGAACTGTATACAGGCTATATAAGTTTGATTTACAATTTGATATGTTTTTCAAAAGAACAGAAAAAGTAATTTCACTAACTCTCTCAAAACCTTAAAAAACAGAAAAGATGTTAAGCAAAAAATCTGACCACACTAAAAAGATTCAAAATAGGAAGTAATTAGTATGTTGTTTACTATAATCATAAACTTCTCTGACAACATGAATATTCTATGAGTAGTTACCCCTTAAAAATAAGGGATTTTCCAATCCAGTGGTTTAAAAACCCAAAATGTTGTAACTTTGGAGTTCTTGACTATAATACACTTTCGTATGGTAAAGATCATTAGAACATATGGACTACTTCCGCATACTGTAATTTTTTCCAGTTGGTTGACTTGAATCAGAAAACATGGTTACATCAAGGTTTTACTATTTATTAGTTTTATAATCTGAATTAAGTCACCTAGTTTACACATCTTATACTAAGAACATAATTTGCCTTTCATGGCCCATAGAGTTGCTGTGAGAATCAAATGAAATTAAAGAAAACCATGTCTGTGACCAGCAGTTGGCGTAATGGCCAGGTCGCTGGGCTCCCATGTAGTCAAATGAGGTTCAAGTCCTAGACCTGGTGACTTAAACTCATGCCGGGTGTGTGTGCGTGCATGCCCAAGACCCGAAGAGGAGAAGGGATTGTGGTGTGGTCATCCCCCCCCCCTGGGGGGGGTAATTTCTCTCTCTCTCTCTGGCGAGTGCACCTGCCCTACAGCAAACACCTCTCCCCGCCCCCCCCCAAAAAAACAAACAAACAAAAAATAACAACAACAAAACAAAAACGGAAAACCATGTGAACTAGACACTGTTTATCTGGAAAGTCATGACATATTTTTCTCTTTTTCCTATGCAAAAATGCATCATGACTTTCCTGACAACCCATAGGAAGTTGAATTATCTTCTAAAATCATTTTAGAATTTGGATACCCTCCCTTTTAAATAAAAATCATGGAAGTCTTACTGTAACACAAATAACTTTTTTTTTTTTAAATTGCTATAGTGTATGTGTATTTGCAGGAGACAGGAGGGGAGAGGGGAAAGTGAGCAAGCACCCCCTGTGAGGGATGGCCACGCTACAATCCTTTCTCTCTAGTCTCTTCTTAGGTTCTGGGTACGTACACACGTGCCTGGTGTTTATCAAGTTGCTGGGTCCATAATTCAAGCTGTGCAGTTGGCCATGTGAGATCCAGCTGCCTTAACCACCATGCCTGAGAGGTCTAAGGATGGCATCCTGTCAAGTATTCTTCACTATGCTTCTTCAGATAGGGTTTATTGGTAAGGGGCATAAGATTAAGGTCTAGTAGGTCATCAGTCACTACCATGTGACTACTATGTGAGAAAACTTTCTTTGGTAGGCCAGGTCAGCAACTACACAGCTTATAAATAAAACTACTTTGCCTTCCACAAAAATATTCCTTTGAAAATAATTTAAAAAAAAAAAAAACAACAATTATACTGTAAAACCTTTATTAATCTAGATAGCCTACCTACCACTGTTAAAAAAAAAAAAAAAATGAGGGACCAGCAGGTGGCGTGGTGGTTAAGGTGCTGGACACTCCCACATGGCCGACCGCAGTTCGAGTACCGGACCTGGTGGCTTGCTTTCTCACTTTCCCTCTCTCTCTCTCTCTCTCTCTCTCTGTATCTCTCTCTGATCAAATTAAAATAAATGAGTGAATAAATAAAATTAAACAAATTATTTTAAAAAAATCATAGGTACATACATGACCATATTCCTCAAGGTCTCCTTTTCCTTCCTCAAGTGTAACAAAATTCCCTGCAGCTGTCCTATGTAAAGATAATCGGCCCTTTTTGGACCTTTTGTTGGGATCAGCAACTGGGTCCTTGAAGACATTAATCTGAAATACAAATGAAGAGAAATAGATGAATTATCAGAAATGTCCACAAAACTTAAATTCTACACGTATTTTTTTTTTTTTAATCTTTTAAGGCACTTTCTAGGTATAACTAATGCAATCCATATCTGGGTTATGGAAATAACTCTTCAGTCTGTTTTGAAGGACACTAATCTGCATGGAAAAAAGGTATAAATAGAACCTAAATCTTGGATTTTTTTTAACCACTGAAGAGTACCTAATACTTCATCTGTAGGAAGTCTGTGGGGATAGCAACATGGGACCCTTTAGGATTATCTCCTTTTCCAAATTGCCTTTAAGCTGCTAAGTATAGCACACATATACTATTAAAAAAAAAATCTTTGAAAAGCAAAACTAGGATATTACTAAGGTAAAGGCTTTTTCTATTTTATAAACTTTCATTATTTTTTATTGTTATCTTGTTGTCACAAGAGCAGAAAGCTTTATTTCCTGATCAGCAAGGGAGGAGGCAAAACATCACAGAGGCAACCTTCAATGGCAGCAGAACGAGAAGCAACAATGTGTTCACCCTAGCACTCTCCAAAGAAAAAGACAGTAAAGCAGGGAATCACCTAGGTGCACCCTGGCCCTTTGCTCCCTAGACTTCTCCCCAGCTCTCAAGAGGCTATGGAAGAACAGGGTATTATATAGCTCAGTTGCCTACCTGTTCCATGACTACAGAACATGATTCTGGCTTCACAGTCTGAACCTCACACACTAGCTTCCTAAATACTGTTTTGACAGTGATTCTATACTTATCAATACCCATACTTATCAATAACACAGGACAGCTAGGTTAGCTGACATTCCCATTCAAATATGACCAATTTTTGACTGACATGCATTATCTGTCTTAAACAACTTTTCACCTTATTTTTTCAGTCTTTTTCCTCCTTAGTCATGTTATTAACCTCTTTCTTTCCTTGTTAGAGCCAATGTGAGTATGTACCTGATAAGTTATTACTAGTCCAGGACCATATATATATCATTCTTTGACTACTGCACTCAGTAACCACACTCCATCTACCCAAAGTAAAGTATGAACACAAAAGGAATAAAAGCTGAACATACCCCAAGGCCATTGGTTACAACATAACTACACTTGAAGGAACAATTCAAGAGATCTCTTGTTAACTTCTGTAACAAAGCACCACCAGAACCGAAGGATACGTTTTCAATACTCCATCTTTTTTGTTTCATACCTTCCACAATCTAGAGGATTACAACAAAAATAAAAAAAACTCAAGTAATCTGGAAAAAGATGGAGGCAAATTACAAAGGGAAATACTGTAGAATGAAGTACTTTACAACGGTTTCGTAACAAAAGGCTTAGGCAATTACAATTTACATTTTCTTTTTAAAAACCCACTCATCCCAAAAAGAAGAGTCTGAGGTGGATGGATATGGAAGGACAAGATTTCTCTCACAGTTTTTGAAACTGTGGTAGTGGTGTCATGATGGCTGTGGTCAAGATTGAAGGAAATGAGTGAGGAAAAAATGGCTATAAATATCTGTTGTTTCTTGAGCCAAATTCTCTCAGGCAGCTCCTCAAATTATTGGTCCAGATGCCAGCAGACAAGCAACAGGACTCAAATATTTGCCCCAAATTACTAGACTCTAGAAATACTACTACTAAATCATAGTACATTGTGTTATTACAGGACTTATGTAAGGGATGTGCATAAATGTCAACAAAGGTGGCAAGAGTATAAGATACCCTCTCCCTATGTAACGGTTGAAATATTGGCAGTCATTTTATTCTGGCTGGTGCTCCAGTGCCACATAATTATGGACAGAAGCAGTGGATGCTAAGACTTAATTGTGCTGCCCAAAATGATCAAATCGTAACTATATAAGCCAGATAGAGAGACTCGTGCTGTTTTGGCAACTAAAATAGTTCTTTCAAATGACATATGATTTAAAAATGACATATAATACAGATGTGTTTATCAATGTCATTCCTACTTCTAAGTAGGGTTTATTTATTTAGCAGTTACATTATTTTACATTATTTAACATATTCCATCACTTTTATGGTAGAAAGTGAAAGTAAGATTTGGTAACCATTCTTTAATTTCCTGAAAATGGCCAAAGGAAGTAAATGAAAGTTCTGGTTCTTCTTTAAAGAAAACATTGAGAAATGATTATGACATCAAAAACAAGTTAAATAGCTTCATATGAATCATGAATACAAATTCACCATTCTCCACAAATACCAATAGTCTCAAATGGACTGCTTCTATTTTCCATATTGCAAAGGAAGAAAAAACAAACACCTAAGCTCCATCTTTTTTTTTTAATGATTATTTAACTTTTACTTATTCATTTATTTTAATTTGACCAGAGAGAGAGCAAGCGAGAAAAAGAGAGAGAAAGCAAGCCTCCAGGACTCGAACCATAGTTGGCCATGTGGGATTCCAGTGCTCTTAACCACCATGTCAACTGTCATCCCTGTTCCTTTATCTTTTAACAAGCCCACATTAGAAATGCAATTTTCTTTTGAAATCTCTAATTTAGAATAATCAAGATGGAAACACATACTATTTAAATGGTTCCTTAGGTTGTACACAAATTCAGTCTTGTTTTTATTATTCTTCCTGGACCTGAAGGCAACCAAGCCCTTAAAATCAGATTAATTTTTCATGAGATGACTGTGAACAAAGTGAGTTCAATACTGAAGAAACACAAGAGTAGAAGAGAAAAAAAGGAAAGGAAACAGGAGACAGGAGTAAGATAGTTTGAGTAAAACAGAGAAAGTTTTAGACCTGTCACCTAGTTTGAGATAAGTTTCAGAAGCACAATAATGAAAAAGTAAGAAAAGTATCACCTAATATTTCAGGCCAAGTTTCTTCATCAAAAATTCTAAAATGCAGACACCAGCTGGTGGTGTGGTGGTTATAATGCTTGGATCCTACATGGCTGACTATACTATTTGAGTCCAGCACTGGATCATTTGAAAAACATGCTATGAACATGTGCATGTATGCATGCTTAAATCCTGAAAAGAGAAGTGGAGAAAGGACTGCAGAGTGACTGTCTCCCATAGTGGGTTGTTTTCTCATTTTCCCTTGCTCTGTTTCTGGTGAGTGCATGTACCCTCTAGAAAATTTACAAAAAAAGATGTAGACAATTTGGAGCTAAAGTGAAATTTTCTGTTAACTGGATATTATGGAATGAGGGAAAATTTTTGTTTAAAAAATTTACATAAACAATTCAAAAGGATGATTAGGTATGAACTGCCAATATATCATTCTTAAGATATTACTCTTCTGCTGAATACTACATTTTCATATTTCATAATCCAGGTATCTAATTTAACTTAGAAGAGTCATATGATGCCATTACTTTTTGTTTTTCTCAGCATGACCATACTTTGGAATCATGTGTTACATCTGTAAGTGCTTTTGCAATCAGGTCAAGAAATTAAGTTGTCCTTATCAAGAATTTGCATAAAACCAAGGTGTTCTAGTATCCGGACCAAAGTTGTGGTGCTCAGAGAACACTTCCCAGAAATGTAGG